AGCAAATCCCTCCCTCTCCAAAAAATAGGGCTTTACTTCTGCAGCCAAACTCACCCTCCACATTGTTATAGAAATGACAAGCACGAGCCATCACTTTCATTCGGCACATGTAGATCTGTAAAACATGGTGTATTTTAGCCAGAATTACACACCATACACCAAAAAAAACCCAAAGCCACCTGTGTTCTCACTGCGCACGCTCTCAAGGCTCTGCTCTCACCTGCATGTGGTTGCTCTCCTGTCGCTTCACTTCAGGATTGATGCAAAGCTGCTCTCTGGAACCCAAAACACATATCTTTGGCCTGTTCAAACAGAACACACAAACCTGATGTTAAAAATAAGGCAAAAAAGGAGTATCATATACCCAAAGCAAAAGGATCAGAGAAATAGATGAGCCCAGAATAAGGGTCAGAATCAGAAACAGTAAGTCAGTCAGTCTGTAAGAGTTATTTGACTTTATGGTACTGCACTTCTCCTGGCAGCAGCGGGTGGTAACAAGCAGTAGTTCACAGCAGGAGGTAATGAGTAGCAGCTTACTTACGTTGTCCAGGATAAAATCAGTGTTCTGTTACGACAGTTCAGCTGAATAAGCTGGGACCTGTCATCCATTCCAAGCCAGCTGTGATTTTTAGAGTAAGGTTATGACCTAAGAACTAACCCACTGCAAACATTCACAATGATTTTTTGCTTATTATAAGGCTGTATCTTTACAAGAAACATATAAACAAGTGATTACTGCCCGTCCAAAGAGCTCAGTCAGCACACTGGCACATCGACAGCGTGACAGACATTGGTACAGCAAAACCACAAAGTTCTTCAGAGATTTATATCAGCCTAAGGAATTCAACTTTGTAACGGCTTCCCGCTGCTTTAAAGAAACGCCCCAGGAAAAAAAAAAAAAAGAAAAAGGAACAAAAAAAATAAAAAAGAACTTTAGAAGTAAATGTGTGAAGTAAAGAAAAAAAACAGACCAAATTCGGGAAAATCTATCATCAAAGAAGAGAAGAGAGGCTGTCAAGTATGAACAAAAACCCCAACCCAACCACAAAGAAATCCAGGTTCTATACATGCACCTTAAGAGAACTACATCTCAGTGGCTATCAGGTTTTTATACATTTATCCACATAATTTCAAACAATAAGCAAAACAGATGTGTTTCTCCACCTTTTTTTTTAATAGCAACATTATCCTAAATCATATTTACCTGTAGACTGTGTTCTTTAGCTCGTTAATGACCTGCGTAAGTTGGGAGTGAGTTCGGGAGGCGTAAATTATTTTAGGAACGTCAGTGTAATACGCTGCCAAATAGAGGAAAAAAAAAAGCAGAAAAACATTATTAGCATGCAAAGAACTAGAGATATTATTAGCCTCCTTTCCCAGTGGGACTATGGTAACAGTTTGCCTTGTAGAGACAGCAAGAAATTTCGTCATCTAACTGCTCACACACACAAAGCGAGCTAAACGAGTTTCTAATGCTCTAAAAAATATAAAAATACGTAAGACACCTTTAAAATCTATAAAAAGGTGTGAAACTGTGCTTCAGCTGCTAAACAATGGCTCCATGACTTTTAGAACACCACACCTTTTATAAAAAGATTTTTTAAAAAAATCACGTTTTCATTAACGTTCCTGTATCACTCCTACCGAGCACAAAAATCGCAGTACTTACTTGGGACATCACCATCTGTGGCAGCATTGCCCCAGGATGACAGGGGTCTGTCAGGAAAGAGTTCCACCCCGTTCATGCGCTGTGCAATTTTGCGGGCTGAGATGGTATCTTTAAAGTGTTCCCGCCAAGCCAGAGTGGAACACAGCAGGCAGAGGGTCTTTCCTGTGCCTGTCGGGCTCTCCAAAATGCCATTTACCTTCTTCATTGAAGAGAAATAAAATAAAAAGGGAAAAAATGAGCAATTTGGAGATTCAGCTAGAACAGGGCTATGTGCAGTAGTGCATTTCCTCAGTAAAAAAACAATCACTACCTGGGAAACTCTACCACAGGACAGAAACACACACATCCCCCACATATTATAAATGCACGACCTGTAGCAGTCTCTGATCAACTTAGTGAGGCTCAATCTAAACCCAAGAGCCAGGTATTATCCTTTATTTAGTAGAGAAATTCTCCATTCTCCACTCTTAGAGCAACTAGAGGGCATCACATTTCAGCGCAAAATACGTGACTATTAGAAATTATTGAGAAAAATGAAAGAAAACCAGAGAGTGACTCACAGATGACAGACTGCTATTTTCCTTTAGAATTCAGACTCTATCCCACGTCACAGCTTAGGCAGAGAATTTTCCAAGCACTTTTAAACACTTAGTCCTACTAGATGTTACAATTTTAAAATGCATAACAATATTACAAGTTGCAGAAAAATGAGCAGATGAGCTTGCACTGCCATGACAATTTACGTTTAAGTGCATGAAAAAAAATTATATGTATAAGGGGCTTACAACACTCATACTTTAAAAGGAGGAGGTGCTAAGCAGGAACCAAGGCACTGCCCCACGACGTGGGGGAATGCTGAGCCACCTGGAAAGCCAAAGCTTCCACCATAAGCTTGTTTGATCTCTCAAAAGAACAGGGACCACAGAGATCTGTTAACCAACTCCAGAACAAAGACAGCTATTGTAAAAACCATTTTCTCATTTGAAAATTTCTCATTTCTCACTCAGTCAGATTACGCTACCTTAGATAAAAAAATGAATTACTCCAATAAGCCAAGGACTAACCACACAAACCCCAACCCCAGACATTTAAGGACAGACTGCATGAACACACAGACTATGTGCTCAGCTTTTCTTCCTTTTCCCAAGTCACGCAGAAACACCTCATCTACATCGTTACCAACCGCCACTTCCACACTCCTGGGTTTTAATAGCTACGTAGTAAAACAAAAAGAAGGTCAGAGAAGATTTGGAAAAGAGGGCATACAGACAACAAAAAGCAAACTTGAACTGGGACAGCCTCTCTGGGGAGAAGCCCTTTATCGCTGGTAGGGATGGAAATGTTATAAATAGGGCTATTCACCAGGCATATGATCCTTAAAAATCAATGATTTATTGGATAAGGCTCAAGCAAACAGCACTGGGCGCTGTGGGAGCGAGTTTCTTCACACTCTACCGACAAGCGCAACTATTACAATGGCATTTCCCTTATTTGTGCCCCAAAGCTTTACATATTCATTCGATTTCACAATCAGCTTATACATAGTAATTTTCTAGCCACACCCCTCCCTGCTTCATATTATAATTAGCTAAAGAGTCCCTTTGAGTCTGCACGGTGCTTTCTGGTGGTCGGAGGGACCCCAAGATGAAGTAGAGCTGGTCTTTCTCAGCCGAACTTTTCACCTTCTTGTTCCTTTTGCCTGGGTCCAAGGTTCGAACCAGTCTCGGCCGGTTCTTGGATAGTCTTTCTTCATTGTACCGTTGTTGAGGTAGTCACTGTTCGTTACTGCATACCACACAAAAACTTAACCACTTTTATCTTAAGACCATATTTGGACATACAGCTCGTTAACCTATTGCTCAAGCGTATAGATTCACATCCTGCTTCTAGCAATGCTTAGCGATTTCTCCAGGTATCAACTTAATATACCTATATATGCATAAAATCATTCCTTTTTTACGCTACACGAATCACCACACTTCTCACAGAAGCGAGCCACTCACCCTCTGCAGGCACTCCAGCACCTTGCCCATGTAGGCCTCCTGGCAGGCGTAGGGCTGGAAGGGGAAGTCCACCGTGATGCCGTTCAGCGTGATCCTGGGCATGGCTCCGGGCGAGTACCTGCAGCCAAGGGCAGACCCGGC